AGATTTTGTAAGAATAAACATGTTAAAAAAATAATGCAGCATTTAGATGCAATAGCAAATGAGGTGGTCTGAGCACTTAAGGGAATGGACTGTCTACTTTTAAAAAATAGCATGTGAAAAATAATCCTGCTGCTCTGAAAAGTCAAAGCAGTTTTACTGAGCTTACAGAGGAGTGTAAAGAGCAATCTTTTGTCACTCTTTATAGAATGCTTTTATTTATAAATAATTTACACGCGTTAATAAAAATTATGAATAAGCTATAATGAATACGGACCTGAGTGGGACTTGGCACCTAGATAAGAGGTAGGTATTAGAGGTGGTTAGAAGCTATCATTGTAAATAATCTATTGATCTGTTGGCCTCTATAATAATTGATTAGTCATTTATTAATCCTTTATTACTGGATTCATCCTATAAAGTGTGACTGTTTTTTTCCCCAAATCCCTGTCTGATAACACATTCACTGTGTTTATTGCCTTTACTGTTTCCTTTGTAAAATTCAGGAGCTGCATATATAACTGGAAGGGACCCCCCCACCATGTCATCTAGACCAACCCCCTACTTAAGGCTGGATCATGCCCAACTAAATGATCCTAGTGAAGTGTTTGTCTAACCTCTGGAAAACTTCCAAGGAGATTCCACAGCCTCTCTGGGCAGCCTGCTCCAATTCTTAACTACCCTCATAATAATGAAGTCTGTTTTCATTTCAAACCTAAATATCTATCCTCTGCTCCAGTTTGAAACTATTGCTCCTAGTCCTGTCTCCTTCAGGCACAGGGAACGTTTCTGTCCTCTTTATAATCATTCTTCAAGTATTTGAAGACTGTTATCAAATCCCCTCTAAGTCTTCTCTTCTCCATACAGACCACAAACATAGATTAAAAAGAAAGAGTCTACAGTGTCATCACAGTTATTACAGAAGCAGGTGCACCTGTCCTGCTCCCTAGAAAGTCCAAAACTTCCTTGGGTCTAAATGGGGTTGTATCAGTCAGTTGTATTATTTATCAATAATAAACAGTGCTTTTAAGTGTCTTTGATCTAATTAGGCAGACAAGGTTCTTTGTGTGAATCTGCTATCTTTTATTAGGCCACATCTTTTTCATGTTGTACAGTTTCCATTTCAAACGGCTGAATTCGATATCTTCCATATTACATAAAAGATATCAGTTTCACCCAAAGAACCTTGTCCGCCTATGTCCTTAGACCAACATCACTACAACCTACACTCCTTTGATCTAATTACAAATTAGAAAAGGAGCTGCCAGCTGGAGATCCTGATAATACTACCTCGCTCTTCCATAGCCAGGCTCTCCTCCCCATGCCCTGGGACTAAAGAAGTCCAGATTTAAATAAGAGCTAAATTGTATCTGGGGTGGTCATGGAGTTTTATAATTTATTTCATGATCACACCTACTGGCCTGAACAGAGGGATCCAGCAGGCCAGGTACAGCATAGATAACACAACAAGAGCCCCATTGACAGGGAGCCTGAAATCATTCTGTGCCACAGCCTGGGGAGCTAGTGAAACATTAGCCCCTTTTAGAAGGAGTTTACTCAACGCCTGGTAGACAGTTGCAGTAAATGAGTCCAGTTCAGTTGAAGTCACAGCTGCTTCTCTTTGCAGCCCTTTGGGGACCTGGGGGAATAGTTTCAAAAGCAGCTAAATCACTTAGGTACCGTAGTCCCATTTTTAGAAGCGGTTTAGGTTCTTGGAGTTTTTCATGCTGTTTCAGCACCTCATGTTACAGAGGAGCAACTAATGGAGTGTTCATGAGCACCAGGGCTCTGTCTTAGTCCATCAGCATTTAGGTATCATTAATATTTGCTCCTTATGAGCCTAAGAACCTTTGATATTCAATTAAATTTAGGCTCCCCAGCCTCTAATTTGCTTTTCAAAATGGTATTTAGGCTCCCAACCCCTTTCAGCAGATTAGGAAACTGAGGCAATTAGCAAGTGAATGATTTATCCACAATCTCACAGGGAGACCAGGCTTTGAGTAAAATCTCTTGACTCCACAAACCATTCCTTCCCCTAGCCCCACTCAGCCTGCAAGTAAAATGCCTGGTTATCCACAGATGGTCCAATGCTTCCTTGGAATAGCTTTGCATCTCAAGAAAGTAGACTGCCACAAATAGCTAGGGCAGAAAATTCCCAGAGGAGACCATCGCCTTAGAAATCCATCTGGATGAGACATGGGCTCCCCAAGGCACTATAAGAGCAGGGGCCAAAACAAAGTTAAAAACAAGTCTATGAATAAAATGATCTTCCTTAGGCCAAAATGCAACCAGGATTAGTCATGGGCTTTAAATACCTGCAATTTTGGCAAAAGGTGGTTATTTTATTCTGGTTGTATTGTAGAATGCTCCACTAACAGAAATATTTATCATTCTAGCTATGACACTAAAGGGGCAGCATGAGGATAACACTGAGCCTTTCTGGGTAGGACGGGATATAAATCTAGTTAATAATAATAATAATAATAATTAATAATAATAATACATGCCTTTTAAACAAGCATGTTTCCTTAGCTGTGTTGCTAATGAGACTGGAGATTATTTTAAAAAGGACCGAATTTTTCCCATCTAGGGCAGTGCCGTTATTGCTCCATCAGGAGCTGGCATAAATCCATTGACTTCAAGAGAGCTAACAAATGACACAAGCTGAGAATATGGCCCGTAATTCTCTGCTGTTTGTTTCTTTGTTTGTCTCTGTTCTGCTTAGCCATGAGGCCGCTCTGGTCAGTTCACTTTTGTTGATAGTTGGTTTCCCTTTCTGGTTCCCAGGCACTAGCTCAAGGCTGCAGTATTTGGGTAGCATCCAGCAATGGGGAATGTTTAAATCCAAACAAAGAAGAGTTTCCCCTGAAATTGTTTGAATAACAATAACAATATTTCTACAGCATCAGTTCAGTAAGACTGGAATAAAACCCAACAGACTAAATTCAGGCACTTACATACTCAACAACATCCCTTTGACAGATTCTGTCGCTGTGCCATTAGTAGTCTTTCCCTGGCGAGTTTGGGATTTTAAAGGAATTTAATCAACTTGTAATCTAGTTAATTAAAAAAATGATTTCAAAACAAGTCCCAGTCCTGCCCTTTGGCACCAGACCCTGCAGCCAATTTCCATGGTTTTACAATCATCTTTTCCTATTTAAAAAGTGAAATACCCTATCTCTCCCTATTGCTGCTTTAAAGAGTCATACAAGCAGCAAGGAAAATGGAGTAGTGAAGAGGAAATGGTGAAACTGACTTGTCTCAATCTGCACAAATAAACAAACCAAAAATGTATATAGAGAGAAATATTGTTGTTTCTCTAGTCTCCCTTGCTGAGCAGGATCACAGGTGTTACGTGGGAATAACTGGAGAAATGATTTCAGAAAATGCAATTATTTTCCCAGGGGGCCAGTGCCCTTTTAAACCTGTGCAACTTACTATCAGCAATGGGTAGGAAAGGGGGCAATAATTAGAGAGAGAGGTGGTATTCAAAACTTAACTGTTGGTTGGGTCTCTCAGCGTAGGGATCTGGCACAGCTAAAAAGGGCTCTTTCCAAACACATCTTGTGCAAACAGCAATTTGTCCTGAGCAGGAAAAACTTCCCTATATGCCCAGCTTCCCAACAGTATTTCACCCAGAACCCAGCTGGAAGAATTACCTTGGACTTGTTGTTTTGTTTTTTTAAAACTGAGATCAAGGAAATTTCTTTAGTTGATCTTGGCGGCATTTTGGTGGCTGCTGTTTATTACAATTTGAGTTTCTCCTCCCATGTGGGCCAGAAAGAGGAGAGGGGAAATCGCTGTCTGAACAATCAGCGTTGTTAATAAGGGAGTTCTTGATGGAGTGCCATCAGTGTGCGGGGCATTGTTCAACACAGAGAGCAGAGGAAAGGGCTTTAGCCAGAGGCTGAGTCTGAGTTGCGGAAGAAGCATGTAATATGAGGAGGCACTGCTTAGCCATTAAATAACTTGGTGAGGTCTGTACTGGTCAAGTAATGACCAGGTAGAGTAATAAAGGCCTGAGGCAAAGCCAAGGGGACTTTACATTCTAGAATGTCATTAGCTGATGCATAAAGAATAGATAGGCAGTCCATTAACCCATTAGGTGCCATCTGGATGGACAACCAGGAGACTGGCATGTGAATGTGAAGTCCTGGGGAATGTTTTTAGCTTTCAAATGCAAGCCATCTGTGGTGCTGAAGGGGTTAATGCCACTGTACATTATTTTAATTTATGCCAAATCAAAGGAGGAGAAGGGTTTGCCTTTTATGACACTTGGGAATATTTCCTTTGGACCACCATGACTGGAACACACAGCACTGAAAATCCTGTAGTTCTTTGCTGCACCACCTTACCCCCAAAACTGCTTCTTAGTCAGTCCAGCAACTAGAACATCAACACTCCCAGGAACCGGTTAGAACTATCACGAGGAGAGAAGAGCATTCTCACCTCACTGCCACTGGTTAAACAAAGCCCTTGGCGCTCCTTCCACAAAATCCTTCTCAGTCTCAGCTTTTTAACTAGGGAGAGAATGAAAACCTGAAATATGCTACTGGACAAATGATCCTGCTAAAAATGCAAGCTGGGGCACAAAAATAGCAGAACACTTCTTAGATGGGGTGAGAGTACCTACAAGGCGAACAGTTTCAGTGAAAATGGTTTGGGAGAAATTAAACAGATCTGAGCTGCAAAAGCTGATCTGCAATTCCAGCACCATCCCACCTCAGGTTTTGATCATCTTTGCAATATACATGTTTGAAATTTACCCTACTAGTTTTAGGATTTTTCTTCTGTTTTTTGCCAAGTGTTTTGATGATCAAAAATACATGTATATGTTTAAAGATAACGGAGATCACACACTCAAATGACCAACTTCCTTCAAATGCTGAACAGTACATTTTGTTTTCCTGCTTCCCTATTCACTTGTAAGTAAGTCTTCAGGGAAAAAATAATCATTATATTTATATAAAATCTTATTTTGAATATTTCCCCTCATGCCTTACCTTTTTCAATTCTTTCCGTCTTTACATTTCACATCAGGTTTTGATGTTGTCAGCACCTCTTTTACCCATTGTAGTCTTTGATCATTCAAGATAAAAATAATTTAGAGCAAAGGAGTACGTACATCTACACAAAATGGAATGCTAAAGTAATATACAGTGTATGTTTGTATCTTGAGATAGATGAAACTCATTTGCTGATCAATAAGAAATAGAGCCTGTATTCAGGGAAACACACTTGAACTGGGAATCAAAAATCTTAAACAAACTTTCCTGTTAAAGACTTGCAAGAGCAAATTACCACCAAAAGCAATTGGACACAGCATTAGGGGGTGCATCCAAGCAGAAAGACCACATCTGACCTCCTTGGTGCCAAACAAACGCTCTAAATAGTAAGGAGTTAAAATACTTGAGAATGTATTGGCAGACTGCATCAAAGAGCTTTTCTCTTCTTCAGTGCGCTAAACTGTTCACGCTGGGTCAGTTTTGGTTCACAAGATTGTTTTTCTCTCTCGCAATCATTGGATCTGCCTATGAACATACATGCAACCAAAGATACATGCATAAACTTCCTACTAAGCCCCTATCTTTTTTCATCAGCTCCTCATGCCATTTTATTTACACTCACAAATAAAGCACATCACTGCGATAGCTCTAACTTTATGCTCTGTGTTTCAGGCTTTTCTAGCTTCCCAGTCTCTCTATCCTTTTGAAATGTCCAGACGAACCCAGATAAATATTTTGTTCTTTTCTAAACAGGAAAAAGAGAAAGAGAGGAAAAGAAAAGAAAAAAAAAACCTAGAGAGGGGAAACAATGCCCAAACAGATTATATTTTCACTCTAGTAGACTATTTCCCTGAAAACTTTTCTGCCTCTTTTTCCCAAGGTCACACCTCCCCTGCCCCTCTGCAGAAAGCCAGGCAGAGAGGAATATCAAAGATTTCCTCCTTCCATTCTGTGCTTGACCCTCCCTCCCTCACTTCTTCCAGAAACAATAAAAATTTCATGACTTACGGACTCACCCCCCGACTGCCCTGCTCACTAGTCTGCCTGCTCACCCCCAACGCCTCCTGTGATCGCCCGGGCAGGGAGGGCACGGCAGGGAAATGCTGCAGGTGGGGTGGATGGGCTGGGGGTGGATGTGAGGAAAGAGGTCTCGCCGGGCACACCCGCACCTGCCACAGGCCCACGTAGCTGGGTGTAGTGGTTATGAAAGCAATTCCTTCATAGCATGTATATGTGTGTTTCTCGAATACATCAAACTCGGGAACAGAAGCACAATCCAACGAAGCTTCACCACCACCCCCTCTCCCTCCCCCTCTCCACCCTCTTGCTTGCTCTCATTTGTACCGATTTGCCCTCAAGGCTTCTTTCTGATTTGCAATGTCCCTGGCAGTGTTTAGATTGGGGAGGGGGGAGCTAGGGATGGAGGTGGGGGAATAGGCAAACAGAAGCCTAGCTTGCCAAAAGCAGTTCAGACCCAGAAAGCGCCTTAATGTGCACAGACGGAGCAGGCTCGAAGCAAAACCAGCTGGACTGGAGTGGAGCGTGCTTAGTGTGAGGCATGGGGAAGGCTGGTTTGGAGTTGCGTGTGCATGTGTGTGTCTCGGGGGTGGCTTATTACACTAGTTACGTTCCCCTTGGGGGAGTTTTGGAGGAGAGAAGGCAGAAGGGGAGTTGTAAAAACTCCTTTTCAGATGTTAACTGTTTCCTATTGACAGCAACCTGCTGATGCTACATGCTAACTCCTAATCCCCAGCAGTAGTCATTCACCTGCTCCCACTGGCTGAGATTTCCCTGGGAGCAGAGATGCCCTTCTGGCCTCCACATCTTCTCCCAGTGCAGTTGAGCCTTTGTAGAGTCACTCCCTGACTAGTGTAAGAGATGGACCAAGGGGTATTACCAGGAGTGGGAGGGGTCACTCGATGTGCCACTGGTTTCATATGTGACTTGGCCAAGGTCACCCAGGAAGTCTAAGCCAGGAGGATCCAGCTCTCCCAGTCTGATGCCCAGACACAGCCCCATGGCTCCTCTTGCAGCACCTCCCAAGCACTGATTTTAAATAACACCTGACCTTGGTATCACAGGTCAATGCCGTGTTATAGAGCCAAGACCTCATCGCTTGCCCTCACATGATGACCACTTGTGAAGGGAATTGCTAGGATCCTGCAGTAAGAAGGAAGTATGATGCAGCTCATGGGATTTCACCATGTTAGGAACTCTATTAAGAGGGTTTGTGTAGCTGAGGGGGTGTGTGCAGACACTAAGATGTGTTTTTAACTTGACCATGCCACAAGGATGAATAATGCAGAATTCTGTGCATTTGTAACCAGACCCCAGTGGTGCTGCGAGCAGGGTTTGCATCTGCAACCTACAACACTACCAGCACATGTAGCTACCAAAGGACCCAGGTCTCAAGTTGGCAATGGTAGTAGGCCATACAGTTCTTAGGTAGACCTTGTGCTGGAAGGGGACAAAGATGACCCCCTGCCTTAGGGCCTGGTCCTGCAGCACTGAAGTCAATGGAAGCTCTGCTATTGCCTTGGGTGGGCGCAAGATCCAGATCTTCCGTGGGGGGAGACATTCATATAATTTCCTCTATAAACCTCTGAGAGTGTGTCCCTCTGTGTGAACACATAACAGCGATTGACCTGAATGTTGCGCAGTATTAGCACATCAAGGCAACCAGTGGCAAGAACAGTGAACGAGGAATTTGTGCCAGCTCAGCTTTCCCTTTCCCAGGTATATGGGCTCAGGGGACTAAGTTGGATTGCAACCTGTAGAATTATGTTTTCTACTGCATTTGGCTTCTGTTAACTGGATGATTTCTTGTTTAAAATGTTAAGCCTTAAGAAAAAGTCCTTGCTGACTGCAATGCTGTAGCTTATGCTGAGTCATCCCACAAATGTGCTGAATCATCCTATTCTTATACTACAGTATAACGATTTACACAAGGGTAAATTCTTAGCAATACAGTACCTGGAAGTCTTACATAGGAGTACCAGACTTTTTTGTCACCCACCCCCTTCCCCTTTCTCCCTCACAAAATAAATGATCCACAGCTGCCCTGGCTGTTGGTTCCTTTCAATTTCACTTTCACTTGGCCTTGGCAGTCTTTCTCAAGTCCATGGTACCCAAGGCCTGTAGGCTGTCCAGCTCTGTTGAATGGCAATTAGAGTGGGCTGAAAAGAAGAAAATGTTAGAATTTTGGGGGGAAACAGTTTCTTTCCCCCTCATCCCAATTTTCTCTTGATTCTTTAAGATTCTGAGAGTCAAGAATGTGTTATCAGCTTTGCTCCTAGTACAGCAAACAAACCAAACAAAGAGGGGAATTGTATGGATATTTCTTCTCTTTACTTCTCAAAGTTTGAAATTTAAAATTTCACATAAATGTCCAAATATGAAAACTTTGCCACCAGGTCCATTTGCAATGAGGGCAATATTTGGGCCCAGGGACTTTGGCTTGGAGGATGCGTTCACATTGATGAAGCAAATACCCAGATTAGCCGAATTAGATTAATTTTCTGTAAATACCATTTGTGGTAATGCTGGATTTCCAGAAAGGCCTGATCTTAATAGATGCTGAGCACCCTCAAGCATCATTGACTTCAGTGGGAGTTGAGGGCAGTGGGCAGGACCAGGCTACTGGTCTGGAAGGTGGATCCAGGTGCATACCCCTGAGTTAGGAGGCTTGTTCATATCCCTTGAGTCTGGAGAAGGCTCCCTATGCCTTTTTTGGGCAGTGCCCTATTTCCAGATGGATAATGGGACAACCTCTCTCCTGGCACATCCTGGTACCCCTACATCCTGTTTGGGCAGGAAGTAAGCATGAGGGTTGTGCAAAAAGCAAACTTACTGCAGGGAGAAAAGTTACCAATATTGTGTTGGAGCCTCAGGAACATTTTGAACATTTATGTTCTAATGTCAGGTGAAGTATTGGCTTGGTCATTAGTATTTCATCCATGAAAGCAAAGGTCCAATGAAAAACTCTGATCATCTGCAGACATGGCCACCTCCCCAGTCTCCTAGATCTACAGTGGGCAAACCCCAAAGTCCAAATCTCAGCCTTTGAATCCAGGTTGGGTCCCTCCCTGCGTGGCATAGTCCCTTCACCCCTAGTACTTGCAATGGCCAGACTTGCCCAGTCATTGCAAATTTGTGCAATTGACTAAGAGGGGAGCCTTGCTTTTCCCTCTCTGATACAGGGTGGGGTCCCTAGAGACGGCCATGATGCCACTAGGGCCCTGTGACCGTGCCAGCTTCACCCTGTGGGTGCCTTCTATTCTTGTCTGCCACATCTTGATGGTTATGATAATAGATAGTAGATAGGGAGGCTGCCTTCAAGTAGCTACACAGTTATGGTCCTGGTGGACCCCACTAAATCCTGTGGGTTCTTAGACCCCTTGCTGGGTCCCACTCTAAGTAAGTGCCTTGCAGGGCACCCCAAGACTTATGGGCTAGATGTGTGGCTCCAACACCATCCCTTTATCACACCCCATCCTCACAGATGGTATTCAAACATAGTGCCTCTGAGGCCTTAGGCTAGCTTGGCCTCCTGCCATCAGTGGGCCCTTGGCCCCTGTCTGCGTACCCCCTCTGGGGCTGGGCTCTCTGGTGCTGGACTCTCCACACGGTAGTGCGCCTCAATGAGTCCTCTTCGTCCCCAATAGCTTCCTCCTGGTCCACTGGATTAAACAACAATAGAAATATGAATCCTTGGGCTACAACCAAATAATAACAACAACAATGACACTGGAGGCCACACTCTGAACCTTTAAGAGGGCCGGTTTCTCCCTCAGCAATGCGTGCCTCCTATCCCCAGGTGCTTTAGGTGCTCCTAGAGCCCATTAGTCTTACTTCAGCAGCAGAACAGGCAACCAATCATCTCCACAGAGCTTTTGTGCACTAACTCCTTCCCTCCTGGCTGCTGCCAGAGCACTACTACCTCCAGTCCCAGTCCTGGGGCTTATATGTGCCCAGGACCCTGGTCAGCTGACTGGGTGCAAGTGCTAGCTAATTCCCTTGTTAGCTTGCTGTCATGGCAACCTGCATCTGTGGGGGGTCTGCTGGCTCCCAGGGCCCTCTTTCTAGGCAGTTTCTGCCCTTAAAGGAGCAGGCACCTTAGTGCCCTGCAACACTCTCAGATACATGTGTTCCCTTTTCTGACTCTGGGGGTGGTGGGTGTCTTCCCCTGCTCTGCTGAATGACAAGGGACCAGTTCTTTGGTGGTCTATCTTACAGCCCCAGTTCCAGAGAAGGCAGTATCATGGGGACAACCCAGACATGTAGAGGTGCTACAGTGTTCACAAACTGGAAGTCCAGAGCTGAGGGCCCAGGTGGGCAGGAGCAAGGCAGGTTAGGATTCCAGCTGGACAAAGGTTCAAGAAGAGAAAACAGGGAGCCAAGGAGCACTAAAGCAAGACAGAAGAAAACCTATCTTCTTACAATCCCCCAGAGCACTTCAAGAGCTGCTGTTTATATGCAACAGCCACAACAAAACACTTTAAGAGGGGCCAGCTGGGGGCACTCAGGCAGCCTGCAACCAGTCCCATCCAGGATATCAGGACCAGCTGAGGCTTGTCTAAGCAGCACATAGACACTGACAGGCAGAGTTGTTTGTTCTGATTTACAGATAGAAACAGGCATAGAGAGACCTAGGAGCAGATCCCATTCCACCTGCAAGCATCACATAAGTATGTAAGGCCCTGTCCATGCCACCACAGTACCCAGGCTGGGGACAAGAGGGCTGGAGATGTCAAGTCTTACCCACCTCAGACCCAGAAGTTCACCACTGAGGGTTGGCCCAGAGTTGGCCCCAGCAGTTGATCTCAGGCCTGCCCAAGACTGAGGGCTTGAGAGTAAGCACAGAGGCACATGCCTAGGAGAGGCCCACTGAATTGGCTTTGGAGCCTCAGGCATTGGTGGGCAGAGGGGACCGCACCCTGGCTTTCCTAGGGTGCACATACTACCACCTTGGCATAGACAAGCCCCTGCTGCTTATGTACAATTCTGTCCCATCCTGATCAAGTCCCTGATGGACCATCCATGCTACTTCTGTCATTCATCTTCATCCTAATCTTGAGATGGGATCACAAAAAAGGCAGGACATCTCCCTACATCCCACATGAACGGTTTCTCAGGACCTTGGGCAAGGTGCGAAAGGAGCACACTTGACACACAAGCTAGGGACAGACATTCAAAAAGCCTGAGCCTGAATTGATTCAATCTTTGCAGGTTAGTCTAACCTGGCTAGGCTGAATCAGTTTATAACTGTACAGACATCCCAGAAAT